TTGTGTCCCTAAAAATATTAATTAAGATTTGTTTTTTTTTTTGCACGTGTTACATTTCTTGGTCCTTTTTTTTAAAGAAAAGTATAGACGAGAATGTTATCATACTAATATTGTTCTCTTTTTATTAAAATATTGGTGGCTCAATGATAATTGTAAATTCATCGATATATATATCGTACATTCATTATAAATTATTCTTAAAACACTCGTTAAGCTATAGGAAAAATGAAAGAAGAATTTTTCATTGTGCTTACATTAAATCTGCGTGATAGCCTAAGTGAATTATAAAGATTAAATTATCTAAGTACCGCGACATAAACGATAAGAAGGAGAAAGATTTATTTTCACTATGTAATTAAAAGCTCTAGCACACGAGTGACACGCCGCGCGAAGTGTATTACGTATAAAGATAAATAATTGTTATTGTTTCTAGTATGTGAACTCTCTGAACAGTGCCTCGTCAAAATCTATGTGAAGCCCTTTCCGCAAGTCGAGAGATGTTCTGCATAAGGTCTAGTGTCTATATAATTCGTCTCTACGATATTGTTTACTGTCTGTTATTCTGTATTATTCGTCAACGCTGCATGTAGCATTGTATTATTCGAGATAGAGCAAAAAAGAAGCTAACCGAAGTTTCATTCTAGAAGTAACATCGATGTGAGTAATTATCGAACGATTATAATTAGTGCATAAATCCGTGGTTAAGGTATATCAATTAATATAAATTTATAATCACTCTTCTCTCTTGTCACAGTAAGATAGATTTAACGAAACGCGTATCCCACTCTAGTTTGTACTAAAACAAGTGACTAATCTGACTTTATTTAATCTTAATTAATCGATATGCTCGAAAAGAAACAGGAACAGCAGTTCGTTTTCATTTCAACACGATATAACACACATCGATGATGCAGCTTTTGTATTTTTTCATGTTTTTTCCTCTAACATCACAACATATCTGAAATACGTCCAGAGAATATGGAACATCCTGGATGTTCTCTGAACATTTTTCGGATACCTGTGCTGTTAGGCACGTAATGTCATTTGAAATAATGTTAAACGAGATTTAGTGTGATTAAATTTTAATAGAGATACGTCGTCGTGTAGGCTCAACGTACACGTGAAAAACAAATCTTTTAAATGGCATTGCCACTAATTAACGATACACCTTGACAGCGATTGCAATTAGCAATACTAAGCGTTAATGACATTGCGACGTTGAGACTGCAGACGGCAGACAGATGTATCTTCTTGATGATGTTTGCGTTTATGAAATCGAGGCTCCGCTTCAGCACTTTCAAGCAGGATAAAATTATAATCCTTCCTCATCTCTCTCTTTATTTTTAACTTTCCTTTAACATTAAAAAAATCACGCTTTAAAAGATTGATGCTAGTTGCCCATAGAATATATCGATAGCATAAAAAGTTAATTCTGAGACTATAATTTTAACTTGAACGATTTGTGCTAACGATTTGTGTGATTTCTGAAAATGTTTTTTAATCGATTGATCGAATATTTTATAAATGAAAACAAAAACATGTTTTCAAACGCTATCGGTTTCACTCATTGTTATTCAGCTGTTATCGATTCGATTAATCGAAAGATAAAACAAATATATAGAAGAAGATTGATGACGCCAATTTTGTGACGCAAAACGGCAATTAAGCTTCAATATCGGATTAGCGAAAAATAAATTCATCAATTTTAGCTATCGATGATGATAGTTTATTGGATACCACCGATATTATTTTTACAAACACGTCACATCTTAATTGCCGTGATTTTAATTCGTTACGCAGACAGTCGACAATGTTGTACAAATACTTCGCGTCGTGATCAATAAGCGGGGATTTTACTTGGATACAAAAAAAAAACATACGTTTTGTTCTCTCATAGATTTCTTACGTATTGAACAATGAATAAATCTCCAGTAAATGATCCACGAAAAAAGAGAGGAAACGCGTCATTGTAGTATTTGCATCTGTATTAGATATGACATTTGCGTGTTGCACATATAATCAATAATGATATCGTAGTCGTAGACTAGTGTCATTAGCCTATTTATGATTAGATAATTCTTAGCAGTAGAAATAATAGTCCACATTATCTCGTGGAGAGAGGACATGTAGAATGAGGGAAATGTCGTTCTTCAGCGCGATGATTATATATATACTAGATATATTTATAGATGCGATTATATATAGGCTGCTAGAATCTATTGTTTACGTATCGCAAGCTAAGACGATATTGCACCGGTGTATTTTATTTCGATAAGTCCCATATATAATAAAAGGAGAAATAGCTAGAGAAAAATAGTAACAATTTCTCTTTTGGAATTAAATGTACGTAATACAATATAGATAAAAAGAAAAAGAGAGATTGTATTTCTCGTATATAAAATTTTTTTGTCTGTGATGTCCATTGACATTGAAGCAATTTTACTTCAATTTACAACACGTGCTTATAAAATATTTATTTGTGTACATGCTTGTACATGAAAAAAATTGCGCTAACATAAATGGGGTAAACTTTGGTGTAAAACACGTTTCTACTGAGAGAAGGAAAAATAATCGCTATAATGATTCTATACGATTATTGTGAATTAATCATTTAGATGACTTTTTGAATAAAAAGAGTAGAAATTTAAATCAATATTATTATGTTAAATTGAAAATATCGAAACTAATTATTTAGGAAATAGAAGGAGGATCATAAATGAAAACGCGAGTTTCTCGAATAAAGAGTTTCGATAATAATTTAATATCGAAACGTAACATTTTATCATATGTGATATTTTAATTTTGTCACTTTATTTTTATTGTATATTTAGATACGTCGCGGATGTTATTATAAAAAAATATACTCTTGAGAAGTCTCTGATGACGATTTGTAATAAGAAAAGTAACTTGCAACACAAATGCATGATAATTTTTCTATTGCATGCACCGATAGAAATATATGCAATAGTACTTAAATTGCAGCGGCTTTTGGCAACTATATTTTTTCTCGAATATTTTTCTTATCAGTTCTGTCATCATTTTTCCAATTACTTGCTCAATTTTTCTTCATCAATTTGATAGACGTGCCGATAAATAACGTATATCTTTGGAATCAATATATTGACGTACTTTTATGTAGCTTAGATCATATGACAAGAAAAATGCGAAATGATATGTGTGATATTAAAAAGAGAATATTTGACATGAAATAAGAATGATCGATATTCTATATCTGATATTAGCGTATGGATTGCAAATGAACGAAAAGCGTATCCTTTTTTTTTTAGTAGCATTAGAAGCGAAACTAGATATGTGGACATTTCTAATGATATAAATGATAATTAAGGACATGCAAGTGCGCTAAGATGTTGCAGTGTGCGTGAATAACACCTGTTTAGTAAATTGATATACGTATCCTTTTATATTTCTACACTATTTTAAAAATATTCACGACACGTTCCAATAGTGACATATAAAATATGATATAATATTATTTTCCATAATTTTGAAATAATTAATTGTAATAATTTCTACTTTTATTATTAATAATTTATTTGCTTAAATTGCGCGCAATCTTCTTTCTCGAAAGAATCTAAAATTAATTTTTAACGTTAAAATACACATATGTATGCGATAATGAAAAGTTGTAAACAGGCTTAATTCACATTCATCGCTTGAAACAATGATTTTGATTCCCCAAACACACAGTTGATTTTCAAATTGGCCCTACTATTTTAATCTGCGTCTTTATTACGTAACCCAGAGACATTTATCGTTCAGAGATATTTCTATATTGTAAATAGAAACAGACACAGGCCGTATTGCCGCTCGATCGCAATTACGAGGGACACGACATTTCTCTCTAATTGTAAGCGGTATAGAAAATAACGAAGATTGAGCGAAATCGCGAAATTCGATTGCGCCAAGTATATTTTTCGAGAATGACGAGTTTTCAGAGATTTAACGAAATTCCCCCCTGTTTGAAAAGTCGAGTCCTTGTCGTGGTACGATCCTGCGACATCGTAGTATCGATCGATTACTTATTGAGGTACGCGATTTCTCAGATATATCAAAAGAACAGAGCAGTTTTGCGGAGCACAAACGATTTTACGTCAAATGATATACGTGTATTATTTATTAAAGCATCAGCCGAAGAAATATATCGATTAGCCAAATTACTAACACGAGACAACTAGAATTCATCTAAAGATCGATCGAGTCTGAAAATTTTGAGAGAAAAGCGATTTCTTTGCTCTCCGCATCGCTGCGCTGATCTATAATATAAATATACACATATACGCGTTGATTGTGTAAAAATTGATCACGTCGTTGATTGACAAATGGAAGGAAATTTTGCGATTATTTTTGTATCTCGAAGAAAACTTCCTCGAGGTTTTCAATCTGAAATATCTTATTCGTTCGCAGGAAAAATGTTGACGAAACAATATTTTCAAGAATATTAATTTTGTGCATATATATACATCAAGGCTTCTAACTTTATTACATTTAGACACCGATAGTTTATAGAATTTTCAACTTGTTCCGATTATATGTGCGATGTGGGATAGGTCTAACATTTCTCCCTTCTTCATTCCCCGATAATAATAATAAATATACGATGGCGAGAAGGAAAAGGAATAATTTGTCTATTTATCTCGGCAAGTTTCGGATTTGTTATAATCCGCTATTGGCATTAATTTAAGATCGTTAAATGATGATGTACGCTTTTCATGTTACATCTCGCACGTATAAGTTGTTAGGCCTATCTTGCTCTCGATCAACGACACTGTTATCTGACATATATACATATATATAATTCGTCATGACTATCGTATAATATATCAGGTTTCTTCAGGTCATTGAGTAGAGTGTAGCATTTTTCATCTTCTAAGTGTTAAATGACGAGAACAATATTTTATAAGTATACATATATGATATAAATATATATCTATAGATACGTATATATTATATCACATAAGGGCACATTATACATATATACGCGTGTGTGTGTGTGTGTGTGTAATATATACTATAAATATATATCCAAATGTACAATTTCACATCGTCGTGGATATATTGTTATAGATTAATTGCGTAAAGAGAGGTAGCCTCCTTCGTCGTGCTCTCTATATAATTGGAAAAAAACGGGGCTATTCTCGCTTATTCCTTTATGGAACACGCGCATAAGAGTATATATATAAATATATATATATATATATAAATATATATAAATCTGTCATTATATTCCCGCTAAGATACTTACTATTATGGCTATTATACGGCATGATAATCGTGAATGTTGTGGAGTGGATCTATTTATGAATCCGTCGATCGTTAATGTAATCAAACGTGTTCTGTGCGTGACTTTTAATAGAACACTTTAAAATTGATTATTGCATTTATTCCTCCTCTTCTTCTGACTCTCAACATTATTTAGAAAATACAATGGAAAATATCGGCTTTTGAATCTATCGCAAGCATAATTATTGAGAATAAAATAATTAAGAATTATTTTCTTCTTTATATAATCATTTAAATTTAATATATTAATGATTTAATAATTTAAATAAAATTTCTTAATGTTATATAATAAATAATGTATAAGTTTTACTGAAATTTTTTATTTCAAGATAAAATTATTATAATAAGTTTTACTTATTCATATATTTTTTAATATTGTGAACCAAATATAAGTTTTGCTCTTAAAAATTATATAATTAAGACAAGTCATGTATGCATGTATTTCTCGAAGTTCATTTAATTTGTTATTTCAAGATATAAGTTTTATTGATTTTTTTTTTTAAATATCGTGAACGAAATATAAGTTGAGTTCGTAAAAATAATGTGTATAAAACAAGACAAGATACGAGTCAGGAAATGAGCATATTATTTATAAAAATAAAAAAATGCATAAATTATATAGCTTATTAAAAAATATGTTTATGGCTTACCATGAAATGACGAAAATGGCGGGAATCGATCATCTAGCAGTCGTGGCCGAGTGGTTAAGGCGTCTGACTAGAAATCAGATTCCCTCTGGGAGCGTAGGTTCGAGTCCTACCGACTGCGAAGGTGCGTTTGCCTCTTTATTTTTTATGCTTTTGCCGATATCTATAAGCAATTGTCAATACTGTAAATAATCACGATTGATATACTTTATTTTTGCATTACAATAACATATGTGTGTAATGCGACGATACAATTTATTTCGTAATAATGATATCTGGTGTCAATGCATGACATTAAAAAAATGTTTGCGTTACGAAAGATTAGTCGTTGCGTCAATATGCCTTGTTTATCATATTGTCGTGTTTTATCTATGTTTTTTTATATCGAAATTCTATGTTCAAATCGATTAATCGATGGAAATGCGGGATTTGCAACGATACGGTTGATCAATCATTAAACGAGCAGAAAATGATAATGAATGAATTATAAAGGAGAGTAAAATATACATGTAAATCTCTATAAATCGAGGGGTAATGGAACGATTTCGTATAAATTTTGCCCCAATTTGTTTGCAATTATAGATAAAATCGGGATATATTATTCGCCATAGTATTCTATATTAAAACGTTACAGAAAGCTATTACGCAACTATATTTCTATTACAGCAGAGTCAATTGAATGATGTAGATTGCATAATAATATCTCAGAGTACACGTGTACTTTGAAGTGATAGCCCGTTCTATCTTTCGTTCCAACTTCATATATCTAATCGAAACATGAAGCTTGCGAGAGCTATTTTATATTTTTTCGCCGCAAATAATGTCGTTGGCTTCAACTTTTATCAAGAAAATTATGTAGAGGATCAGTCGATCGAAAAGTTTTTAAAGTCGATCGGGAATCATCAGAGTGACGTAATCATCAAATTTCAGAAGGGCGATACTTATTCGCAACGTATGCTCGATCTCGTCGTCCAGAGTGTCGTCCCCATCTGGCCGTCGCAAATTTTCGATTTCGGATCTAAAATTCAACCGTGGGACCTGGCTTCTTCCCGCACTCTATTGATTTATATTTATCCATGGAACGACGACGTCACTTATGGAAAATTGGACGCCACGATGCAGGATGTCTATTCGATATCCTATTCGAGGTACATGCCGAAACTCTTGCTTGTAATAAATTCGAACGAGAACATGTCGAACGCGCAAGCACAACTCGAGTACTTGTGGGAATTGAAGTTCCTCGACGTGATCATCTTGGAAGTGTCCTCTCGCTCAATGAACTCGAAGCCGGTCTTCGTGGCTGCGCATCGTTACAATGGATTTGGGAAAAATTATGCGAGACTGACCACGTACGAGGACGGGATCAATTGGTATTCGAAGACCGGAATATCTACGGGAATACGTTCAAAGTAAAATTCGAGGAGATATGGACTCCTTACGGTAGCTTAGAGCCAGGTAACAATACGGTCGGCGGTCTGGCTAAAGCGTTTTCAGACGCATTGTCTGTTACTTTAAATGGTTCAGTGGTACACACGAATTTTCAGAACGAAAGCAACATGATATACAAAGCTAAAGGACTCGTGTACACGGAAAAACTGCACACGGATGACGATCACAGCGTCGCTGTGGGTGGCGAAAAATATTGCCTCTTAATCCCGATTCTGCCGACAGAAACTCTTTTTGACTTTTGGCCGATTATCCTCACGATACTAATAGGGATCTTCCTAGCAGGAGTCATGTGGTGTGTCTCAATGGTTCTAAGAGTCAGCAAAAAAGCTCGTGATCCCTTGAATACTATTAGCCTAATCCTCGGATTTTCGGCTTTTTATGGTCCCCGTACCTTTCTGGAGAAGATGTTGTTCGCGATCACGGTGATGACAGCGGCGGAATATGCGACCATGTTTCAAGCGGAGCTGTTTAAATTCGTGATAGAATTCTCAGCCGAGATTCGCGTGTCCAATTTCGAGGATTTGTTCGCCACCGGTCTTGGGGTGGTGGTCCCGAAGAAGATGTACGACGAACTCGCGGCGAGCGAGAATATACCTTCGGAATTAATGAGAAGATTCACGTCCGTCGAGGAGAAGGATAGGATCTCCTTCAACGTGTCCACGGCGTATTTCACGACGGAAATGGACGGTAAACAGATAGCGAAATCGATTGTGGACCATAGGAAAAACCACCTCTTCAAAGTCTCCGATCTGTGCATTGTGTCGTACTATCGCGTGCATGAGATCCCGTTGAAGTCGGCCTTCAAGAATGAAATTAATTTTGCGCTACTGATGCTAGTGGAAAACGGTTTCGTGAAGAAGCATTTCGAGGATTTCTGGAATAGTGCGACGAGAAACAACAACGAAAGAATTCTTAGCGATCATTCTATGTACGTCGCTTACCTCGTTATTCTCGTGGGTTACGCGATATCACTCGTCGCATTTGTAGGGGAATTAATCTCCAACCGAGAGAACTCGAAACGTCCAACGTTTCGCATTAAATGTCTACGAATCATTGCTCGTTAATAATAATGTTGATGCAGCTAAAAATTAGCTGTATAAATAGAATAGCACATTAATTTTATACGCTTTCAGCAAATAAATATGCTAGCAAGTCGCGAAGGAGTTTGAAACATTAATCATTTTTTTGTTTTTTAATATTTTTATTTGTTCTTATAGAATAAAATTTATAAAATAAAATTGTATTTTTAATGTGAAATATTATGCCAGGTGACAATCATTTTCAGTTTAACAAAGTTAGATTCTTTCAAGTGCATTTTCTATATAATAACTTTTGACATTTCAATAGTCGGATCCTTTTCGAAATCATTTTTTTTACTTAAATGGACATATGTTAAACATTTATAAATCCGTTCTTTTAAATAGCCCTTTTAAAGCGGAAAATTGGAGACACCTACATTTAGGGCACATGTCATGTTTGAAATGCATCACAAAAATTCTTTAATTTTTTGCTCTAAAATTCAAAAGAAATCATTCAAAAACTCTTGACTTTAATGACTTGGGTTGTATGAATTACGGTTTTTCTTCTTGACACATCTATATAAACAGTCTTTAACAGCTGACTTTTGTAGTATAAATTATACGGTATGGTATATTTTTTGCAGGATTTATTTATAGTATGTCTTTATTTTCAAAGAAATGGCCTATGACCTTTTCGGAGGTATAATGCCGCACTAAACTGTACACTTAAGTAAATGCAATTGTTACCGATGAATCGTCCTCGAATTCAATTGCTCATATTCTGTAAACTCTGCTTATTTATAAACTCATTGAACTGAAAACAAGTTTTATTACTGGTAATAGAATTATAAATAAATTTATTATTTTCTTCTGTCAGTTGACAGAAAGAGATTATAATTTTCATAATTAATTTTCCAAGTATTTTTTATGAAGTATTAAAAAAAAATCTAAAAAAGAATGATTAATGTTTCAAATTGCTTCACTTATATGCATTATCTGTATTTAAAAAATCTTAGAAAAGTATTTCAGAAATAATAATGCACACCATCATATAAAGAAATATTTACTAAACATTTTCGAAAGATATATATATATCTAAGTTCTTAGATACCCTACTTACAATAGATATATAATCTTATCGTTTATCTTATGTCACATTATTTATTATATTCCACAAAGTCGATAAGTTGCTTAAAATAATACATTAGTGGCTTCGAGAAAAGCATAAATTTCAAAAAAAAAAACTTACTTTTAAAAATATTTCCTAATAAAAAATCTAATTTCTTAAACAAATTTTTGTGGAGAAAAAAATTGATCTAAATTTGATGAAAGTATCGGAAGGTTTTTACCTTCTTTTCTGTAGAAAACTAGATATAGCTTGTTAGATATCTAATATATATAAACTTGTGCGTGTCACGCAATGGAAGTTCTTTACTTCGATGATGATAATACTTTGATAAGAGTTTTTTCAACGGACACACAGAGTAGATCATCGGCTGTAAGCTCAGTGGTTAACTAAAAGAGGCAAGTCCCGCTTCAAGAATATTATCTCATGAAGAATATATATAGTACGACTTGTGACGCAAGCATAACAAATAAGAGCACGTCGGATCGACGTTGCGCTTCATTCGCGCCAATAAAATCTTGCAAAACAATTTGCAATTTGCATTTCGCTTAAGATTTGACATCAATAAGACAGTAGAAATATACCGGGCAACTGGCACGGCGCCAGTCTGCGATATCATATGATAAACATTTGGCCTTTTGTCTTTTTGTTTTTTTTTTTTCGAAACGTTGCTACAATCTTGCGATTATTTTATTTTCACTACTTATAATTAATGATCGATTTACGCACCGACGTAAACAATCGATAGAGTACAATTGTGCAATAAATATCTAATTTAAATATTACAGAGATGAATTGAAAAAAAGGAAGAGAAAGAGAAAGAAATAAAAAATCAAATATACAAATCTAACAATAAGTTAACAGAAACTGTCTCAGAAAAATATGATATCGCAAGTAAATTCTCAAAAGTTATTTTAATTATTGAAATAATAATTATACAGTTTTTTAAAGCGACTCATTATATACGCATTAATTGATTCGAACCATTTGAATATTATCAGGCTATTAACAGAATGACGTATCTTCGATTTCTTTTTGTTGACATTTCCCTTAAAATAAATAGCAACTTTCTAAATTTCTTGGAGTGAAAACCGAACAATCTCATTCCAAAAGAATGGAATTTTACTTCGAAAGAGTGAGATTCCACTCTTTTGGAGTAAAATTCTACTCTTTGGAATGAGATTGTTCAGTTTTCGCGCTCCCAGAAATTTAGAGAGAAGGATTGTTGGCTCTATGGTCACAGTGGAAGTGGGTTTTTAATTAAACGTGACTCATGTTCATCACGCTCGCTATAATAGTCGTATCGCGAGATCGCGGTGTCATCTAAATAGCCCGATAGCGCGTATCACGTGTCGTATATTGCTATCATCGTCGAAACTTACATACTGCACGTGAACGCCTTCATCATGGCCACGATACTTGACGATGGCTATGCCAATAGCTTTTATGATATTAATACACTCCTACTTATACAGATCATCTCAAATAACTGGGAGCTCCGCTTATAATGATCTGTCAAATATCAAAGTTAAAAGTTTCGAAAGAGAGAAAGCGAGACAAATCAGAAATTTATCCAAAATTTGTAACGCAAAAAAATACTGTAACAAAAAATATGGCAGTCATTTAGGCGTGACAAGTGACAATTTTCAAACCTAAAGATCGTTTGTGTATATTTGAAAAATCTTTTCTTAGAAGATTTATAACGGTTCAAAGTTTGCTGACGTGCGGAACATCTTTTAAGAAAAGGTCCTTCAAATATATCAAATGTTACTTGCTACCTTTAGCAAGCTGAAATTTATATCTTTATTGTATCTTGTAGAATTTATATCTTTCTTTTATCTTGTAGTATTCTTTATCTGGTAATTTCTGTTTCGTTTGCGAGTTTTGAATTGCGAACAAAACACATTCAAAGATCTATTCTGTCAAATCTTGTTTTCAATAGCGTCAGTGTGTTAGCAAAGTCGTTCTCCTTAAAATAGCATTTAGACATGACAATTTTCAAGCCATACTTAGAGATTATTTATTTAAAAAATGTTTGTGATATTAAAAAAAAATGTTTTTAAAGTTTCCTGAATTACGGAAAACATCTTTTAAGAAAAGATTCTTCAAATATACAAGGCTATCTATAGGTGTGGGTGAAAAATTGTAATTTATTACTACACAACTACAATTGTAATTTTTTATTACACTTAATTTATATTTTTATTGCATCTTGTAATAATCTTTATCTGATAATTTATGTTTCGTTTGCGAGTTTTGAATTGCAAACACATTCAAAGATCTATTCTGTCAAATCTTGTTTTCAATAGCGTCAGTGTGTTAGCAAGGTCGTCCTCCTTAAAATAGCACACGGAAGCTTGCCATGAAACCGACTCTCTGTCAAGTTTTATTTTTATATTTATAAGACAATCTATATAATATAAATATAACATAATAATGATATAATAAATTTAGGCAAATTAACTGATATCTTCAATAAGTTATTCAATCTCAATTTAATTTCCCACTGTTAAAATATACGTGTATATGTGTAGTATGTAAGTATAGGATACACTGTAAAAAAATTTTGTAAAATTACATTAAAAATATGTAAAATTACATAAATAATAAATGTAAAATTACATGATAAATAATGAAAAGGTAATCATTTCTATTATTTAACGTGTAATTTTACACTTATTTATGTAATTTTACATATTTTTGTGTAATATATTACATATTTTTTTACAGTGTATTTATTGATGTTGAATTATGTAATTACTATACATATAATAAATTCTATTGAAATATATGAACAATCGGCGATCAAATGACGCATTTTGCGTGGGAAGTGGAATGTCGATTCTGGAGGGAGTGTCATTGCTCTGACACGCGTGCGCATCCCCAGTTTTTTTACCCCCGCCGATTCATTTTCTCTCTATATATGACGTCACTACTATAGGGTCGCGGCACTGCTTTCGGCTGCACTCGCAGTAATCACAGCGACTGTGACGTCGGACCACGAATTCAGGTATGAAATGCACAGACATATAATTTCTTTTATATTATTAATTAATATCTTCATTTTTCATTGAAATAATATACGTTTTTAATTGATAGAACAATTATTTTGCGTATGCGCAATACTTGATTTACAAATTTATTTAAATTATTGTTTTTTTTTCTTTCGTGAAAGAAAAAATGCAGTAAAATCACTTTCTTAATTTTTATATTAATATTTTGCCTTAAAAGAATACTGTATACACGGAATGTCTCACTTTTTGAAATTTATTTATTTGTCTTTCTAATCGATCAATTGTTAAAAAATTTCAAGCTACTTTCACTACAGATAAAAATATTATCTACTTATTACATAATTGTCGTAGTATTAATTATATAAGTAAAACATAGTAAAAATAATTTTCCAATGAAAGATTAAGATAAAGCTTTCTTATTTGCAGAGAGCAATAATTCAAATTTTGAAAATTAATAAAATTTTACATTACATTACATTTTACAATATTACTTTACACAGATCCCGACACATACATGTATACACCCTTACGAAAAAAAACTACAAGAATATGAAAGAATTACTGAGATAACAATAATATATTATTAAAAAACTCTATTATTATATTAGTAATTTTTTCTTATTCTTATAAGTTTTTTCGTTTTTTCGGGAATGGTTCTTTAAAATATCATTAATAATTATTAAAAATATTTCTTTTCTTTCTACATTTTTATATACATATATGTTCATATGTTATATATATATATACACAACATATATATATATATATATCATTTTCATGTATACAATATTATATTGTGCTTATGTATCATTAAATCTGCTTTATCATTAAATTTATAAAATACTTAGGAGATTTTCTAATGTCGAGGAGTTTGCGTTATCAAGACATTTGATTAATTTATGATATTTTATTTAAACAGTGATAAAGGATATTATAAATAACTAACATTCTAATTTCCTCAACCAAATTTGTTAAAAAATGAAGTTTTGGTTTAATTTATCATTAAATTTATCATTAGATTATCATTAAATTATTATTAAATTATTATCATTAAATTTATGAAATACTTCGGAGATTTTGTAATGCCAAGGAGTTTGATATATATGTAAATATATATATATATATCAAATTTATATATATATATATATATATATATTTTGTATTGCAAAATAAACTTCGAGAGAGAAGAGAGAAATACTTTATATATATATATAAAGTATTTCTCTCTTCTCTCTTGAAGTTTATTTTGCAATACGAAATACGAGGTCACGCGCGAGACCGCGTACGGAAGCACTACATGTAATAATCACGTGCACTTATCAGCGATCGGAAAATTACTCTTTGAATCTCCTATCTTATTTATATGCACTTACTTATTGTTTTAGATCTTCAGTTTTGTTATCGCATATAGGTATATATTTCATCATAACAAAACTTGTTATATCTGTATATAGAGTCAATTATTTCTCAGCGGAAATATCTAAATATTACAATAATAACTTTCAATTGCAAATAATTGAGAAAGAAGAGTTTTTTTTATGAACATTATGGAAAGTCTAAAAATTAAACCGAAACTTCATTTTTTAACTAATTTGATTGAAGAAATTAAAAAGTTAATAATTTATAATATCCTTTATCATCGTTTAAAAAAATATCATAAATTAATCAAATGTCTTGATAACACAAACTCCTCGGCATTACAAAATCTCCGAAGTATTTTATAAATTTAATGATAATAATTTAATGATAATCTAATGATAAATTTAATAATAAATTAAACCAAAACTTCATTTTTTAATTATATAATTTGGTTGAGGAAATTAGAAAGTTAGTAATTTATAATATCCTTTATCACCGTTTAAAAAAAACATCATAAATTAATCAAATGTCTTTATAACACAAACTCCTCGGCATTACAAAAAATCTCCAAAGTATTTCATAAATTTAATGATACATAAGCACATTTAATGATACATAAGCACAATATAATATTGTATACGTGAAAATGATACCACTTGAGATATCAGGGAAGCCAAAAGATGTTTTATGTAAATATCGATAAAAGTTTTTATTATCCCCGGTCTTTATCATTAAACTTTGTTTAAGTATCGGAAAAATGTGATAATCTGTGTATCGCTCTTTTAATATACTTAATCTGATAATATCATAATTGACTCAGAAAAGAGTAGACGAGATTACACATTAGAGAGCACATTAAATATTGTACAATCATCAATTACTGATATGATAGGCTAAATTACTAATTCCTTCAAAAGGCTCGTGAAAATCGCAATGCTTATTATATTTTGATAAATATTGACAGCATCTGAGGAATTTGGGGCGTAAAATTCTACTATGGAGTCATTAGAACAAATGCCAAAATCCGATACTATAAGGCTTCGCGATCGTCATATCGGGTAAGTAACATTAAGATTTATAACAAAATATTTCACGGCTGATTGAAAATAAAAAATAATATTTTAACCATTTATTTATTTATCTTAATTTCAGACAATCGTGTAAGCTATTCTACAACTCGAATCCATTAAAAATCGTAAAGGCCGAAGGACAATACATGTACGATGAAAGGGGCAATCGATACTTGGACTGCATAAATAACGTCGCGCATGGTATATTTCAAATTAATATACTAAAGTAATGTTGCATAGTGCATTAATCTTGATTGTGCGAATATTTACGAATTTGGAATATACCCCTAATAACTCTTTGAATGAATTGACCTGCTTACAGTTGGCCACTGCCATCCGGACGTCGTACGAGCCGGGCAGGAACAAATGGCCCTGCTGTACACAAACAATCGTTTCCTTCACGACAACCTGGTGATATGCGCGAGCCGATTGGCTTCACTCTTACCGGAACCTTTGTCCGTTTGCTTCCTGGTGAATTCCGGGAGCGAGGCTAACGATCTCGCTCTCCGTCTCGCTCGGACGCACACGAAGTGCAAGGATGTCATTACGTTGGACCAGTAAGTTCATCCTTCGCTGTCAGGGCTGCTCTACATGCGATATATTTCTGTAACATTATTCTACATTGGAGCTCTACGCGCTCCACGTTCCACGTCTGAAATGAAAGTTCGTCGAAAGTTAACGAGACAAATATGAAAGAACTTTCATTGTTCGTGCCTACTTCGGATCGGACTTCGGTCTTCTTGGCGCAAGCAATTCCGCATTGTTGGCTCGAATATATGTTGGATATTTCAGGCTGTGAACAAACTCGAGCGAGAAAATTCACTGCTGAACTAATGAAATCGATCTGTCTTTTTTGCAGCGTCTTTCCACTCTAAATCGACAGGGACGTCGAAATCGATCATCGATGAGCATTGATGAGATCGAACTCTAATCCGGCAGATTCGGACAAATCGGATGGGGCCATTCGATTCTTTTCGCCGCGGAAATAGAGTTCACCGCCATAAAGATCTTGTCGCTGTTTTAGGTGGCGTAAGTCTCACGATGACGTATACGTGCCATTGTATGATACAATCTATATTTATTTTCTCCTTCTATCGGTGAAGACGATGTCGCTGAATATTGGACTGGACTTATCTGAGAGAGTGAGAGAGAGAGAAAGAAAGAAGGAAAGAATATGATCTAATCGTTAATTAGACAAAGCGAAGTCACATCGCACAAAGCGAAATCGACCGGAAGGTTTTCATTAGATAAATTCGCATTAGAAACATAAAATCATGAAATGAATAATGACAAACCCATTGTCGTGAATATATTATACGAAACTAGAAAACTGATAATACTCCGTTTGCATTTCTATTATCGCAACAGTTGTGTTGTGAACAGTTGCGCTTTGTCTTATTATCGATATTAATGGGTCGTCCAGAATCCGCACGAATTAATAAAATTATTTCATCTCGTTGATCGAGTTTATCAAGTTTATGAGTAGTCTCATAACTTTTAGATATCGTAACCATGGTGGGGTCGTTGGCCATCTTCGGCAACAATGGGAAAAATTTTTTAAAGTTATATTTTCAGGAACTGTGCTCTTTTACTAAACAAAATAATATTTATCAAAAATATATATTATATATTATATATATGAGAAAATTATATATATATAATTAATAATCTTTAGAAAGAAAGTTGTGTTGTAGCTTTGGAAGGCTTCGAAGAATATTTATAGTTACGGTAAAATGGAAAAAAGAGGAAATTTGTTTACGTTTGTCTTTCTGCTTTTAGTGCTTATCATGGACATCTCACCACAATAATCGATATTTCACCGTACAAATTCAACAAGCCTAGCGGCACCGGCAAAAAAGATTGGGTGCACGTGGTAAAGTATCTACAATGCATTCTCATAAATATTTATAAGATAATGAAATTGCGTATAAAAAAGTTAAATCATTAGCGATAGACGGATTAAAATACCTTACAATTAAAAATAAAATTGCAACGCTAATTCAATAATTTGACTTTTAAATATCGAAATTTGAAAAACAATCTTTAAGCAAGAAGAAATTTTTATTGTTCGAAAATTAATATTTTCGCAAAAATTATTTTAATATTAATATCATTTTATATAAAAAAAGTGATTTTATACTGTTTCTCTTTCTCTCAGGCTCCCTGTCCGGATGTGTACCGCGGAAAATATCGTTCCATTGATTACGTCGACGAAGATCTCGGCGTTAAATACGCCGAGGATGTAAAGCAAATTTGCGATGACGTCAAAGCCAAAGGACGCGGAGTTTGCGCTTACATCGCGGAAAGTCTCATGTCAGTCGGTGGACAGATTTTACCGCCACATAATTATTTCCGGAATGTATATAAGTAAGGGACTATTTAATATTTTGTTATATAAACACACACATATACACATACGCAATTTTGAAGCAACAAAGATAGTAAAAAAGGCCGAAAAGGCAAGGAATAAAAAAGACATTACTGATTTTTATAGGCACGTACGTGAAGCAGGAGGTGTCTGCATCGCGGATGAGGTTCAAGTCGGTTTCGGAAGAGTCGGCACTCACATGTGGGCATTTCAATTATATGGCGAGGACGTTGTTCCAGATATAGTGACGTTGGGCAAGCCCATGGGTAATGGTCATCCTGTCGCGGCTGTCATTACTACGCCTGAAATCGCGCGCAGCTTCCGCGACACAGGAATCGAATACTTTAACACGGTGAGTCTGTAAAAAAAAAAAAAATATTGATTAGTTGATAGAAATTTGGAAATTGAGAAAAGAAAAATGTTTTGTTATATAATAACAGTATATCTCGCTAATTTCAGTACGGCGGTAATCCCGTATCCTGCGCGATGGCGAACGCGGTGATGGAGGTGATGGAACGCGAGAATCTTCAGGAAAACGCTTTGAAAGTAGGCAATCATCTGATTGCGGAGTTGGAGAAAGTAGCAAAGCGACGGAAGATCATCGGCGATGTGCGCGGGGTTGGACTATTTGTAGGAATTGAGTTAGTTCGCGACAGAATTAAGAGGATACCGGCGACGGCTGAGGCGAAGCACGTTGTATCCAGGATGAAGGAGAAGAAGATCCTCATCAGTAGCGACGGACCTGATAACAATGTTCTGAAACTGAAGCCACCGATGGTCTTCTCTATTGAAAATGTTAACCATTTCGTATCCGTTTTCGACGAAGTACTCGAAGAAGTCGACATCGATTTCAACGAGGTGATTTACATCTTACATTTACTTCAAAATATATATCAATGATTATCATTATCATCATTAAGACACAACGTGTGTTTTTTATCATAACAAAAAAATTATTTAAACTAAAATTAATTTTTCAAACTGAATGTGCGCGGTTTAAAAATAACATATTGGTAATAATTGTTTAATAATAATTGTTCCAGGAGCCGGAAATCACTACAACTATTATCAAAGCAACGATCTCCTCTATAGAAGTCAATAGAAACACTTCCGCAGTGAACAACGGAAATTCACTATTCGTTCGCGCTAATTAATAATATAATTTGTAAATATTACAAATACTAAATTTTTAGTAATTTTATATATATAAAGTATTATTATTTTTAAGATAATTAAGATAAATGTCGTAATTATCGCTTATCACACATATGCACATATATTTTTACAGCTTCATCGAAAACATGTAGGATAAATAAAAATTACAATTAGTTTATTGAAATAAGACAATATTGTATACCCTTCTCTTTCTGTTAAAATCTTATAATAGATACCTATATTTAGATATATATATGTATATATATATATATATTTTTTTTTTTTTAATAAATAATTTTAAATAGAGTTCTTTAAATTAGTCTCATCCTTCTCTAAAATAAGGTTTATTTTTGTCATCAATATAATAAATATGAATGTATATACACAATTTTTTAAAATATTTAATTGCACTTTAGAATATTTATTAATTGTATTGATAAAAGAAATTGTATAAAAATAGTAAATTCTTTCTTGTCAAATTATATAGTTCTTCAATTTTTAAATGCAGATATAAACTTTTAATAAAAGTTTACATTAAACTTTGCCAAACTATTAAGAATTGTTTGTTAAAATTAAAACAAATATAGAGATAAAAATAACAAAAAGGGACAAGATCCGCTTTTAATAAAGAAAACTATAGAAGCATGATGCACAATATGAGAGATATAAAAGTGAATGTTACATTTTATCATTATTCAATAAAATTAGTAAAGAAATAAAGTACGATTGTTTTAATTTATTAATAACATTTTGTCACAGTGATATGTTATCCGTAATTTATTCAATAATTTAATAATAGATACTTGAGAGTCAATGTTAAATATATAATATCTCTATTGTAGATACATATATCTAGATCTTCAAATTGGAATATATGTATCTGTATTCAGATTCAAAACATACTACCTGAATTTCTGATACATTTTCACATATTTCTTTAAATTGACCAATTCTTAAAATTTTTAAAAGATTAAGATCTCGTAAAAATAACTAACTGACACTGCTATGAAAGTTCTCTTTTATTTGTCAGACAAGCAAAAAATATCGCATCAATAGCACGGTTTCTTTATATGAAACATTTATTTTTAATATTCAACACAATTATATTGTCAGCATTGGTAGAGTGATTATTTAGCATTGGTAACCAAATTTTAATATCATGGCGACATAGAGATTATTATTGAGTAACGATATCTTAAAGATATTTTTGATGTGTAAAGCTAACTAATAAAATCCTAATGTAAATAAAAAAACATTAATAAATAAAAGATTTATTCATTATATTTTGTGCACATTATTACTATTATTATGATAAATTATTTAAAAATATTCGAGATATTTTTAAATATCTGAGTATCCTGTATCTGTATATATTTTAATTTGTGTATTTGTATCTGTATTTTAGATACATTTTAAATGTTTTACTCATCACATTGTTCACTTGTAAATATTAATTTTTTTTATTAATTTACAATTCTCTCAAATGTCTATACACAAAAAAATACATTTATAGATCTATGTTTGTTAATAAAATTTCTTCACCAATATTATGCATATGTATATGCATACACACATCTACATAATTTATAAAACACATTTATATAACATTTGATTATAAGCATTTCAAAGATATTTAAGCGCACCAACTATCCGCGTATAGCTAATTTATTTCCAAAATATATGTATATTTAATATAGAGAGCTTTTAAAATTCTTGATCAAAGATATTTTATATTTTACATATCTAATATTTTTTGAATATATTCAATATTTTCTCCTAGATTACGTAATATTTTCCATTTAATAAAAAAATTGATTCCATGTTCCTTTCAATCTTGGACTTTGTTAATAATTTGACATTGTGATAATTTGACTTTGTGATAATTTGACTTTGTGATAATCAAATATAAGAAACACATATGTTTAAATACTACATTGTATATTAAGAAACTGAAAACGCATAAAATATTGAAGACCTGTATATGCTTCTTACACGTGTAGAAGTTTATCAATAGTTTGGAAAAAGACAGTCACAAAAATGCATTAACGGAAATGTTATTCACATACAGATTTTTTCTGATCACGTAATCACGTTAGAAAACATCTCTTGACACCGATATCTCGCGACCTGGATCAAAGTTTAATATTTTTAATTTTTGCTTTCCGTTGTAAATATACTACTTTTACATTACATCCGCAAATATATCTCCTGCTGCACGTCATTCACTGTCGTTTTAATCTATGTTAAAAATATAATATAAAAAGGAATAAAATTAAACAACATCTGATGACATAGCAGTGTCTGTGATCGTTATATGAATGGTCCCCTCTCAGATATAGAAAATTCAACACTTACAGAAAATTATCAGTGACGTGTCGCAAATTTCTAAGTTGCTTTTCTGTTTATTCGACTAAATTGGGTATAAAGCGATTATAAAAAATTGCTATTTCTATCGAACGTTACGATTAGAATTAGATAAAAACTAGCAAAATATACATGCGCGCGTAAACATAATCTTTTAAATTTTCATATTTAAAATATAAAATATTGATTAATTCATTTTTACATTAAATTTAAGATATGAATTAATAACTTTTCATATTAAAGATATTAATTATTTTGTCTCGTCTTTAATCAAAAATATATGATATATAAAAGTATATTTGTTATATATAAGTATATTATTTTGTATAAGATTTAGATTTTTATATTATTATGTTATATATATATAGCTCACGATAAAGAGAATTTTTCGAATACAATTTCCAATTACATTAAACGCGCATTCTGATAAATTTTAACATAATAAAAACAACTATCAAGTAGCAGTTATCAATATATTTTAATCGGCTAGCAAAGTAAATAATATTTACAGACGAAGTCAAAGTTCTCTCCGGAAGTCCGATGTCACGACTGCATCTCTACTTTCTTAACTATGTTGCGGATGTCATAAGTAATCTATTCGCGGGCGAGGTTAAAAAAAGTTTGTCACGCGTTTGTGAATGATATAGTTTCAAGTTCGTGCAGACACGGAATCTGTAATCATCGGAAGGTCAAGCTGAGTTGGCACACTCCTGGATATAAATTCAATCAATGAGACGAAGCTTTCATTTCGCATTGGGTATTGGCCACACAACACCATGTGGTCTCCTCTGATATTCTTATTCGGTAAGTAGACATTAACTTTATACATAAGAATGATATAGCTTGATGAAAATTGTGAATAATGTCACTTTCAATATTTTAATGAAAGTATGCAAAAAGAACAGTAAAACATTTTTTAGAATTGTAAAATTATTATTATAAAGTCTCCGACTCTCATGAATATTTCATGCATCATAGGATATGCACACATATAAAAGCAAATCAAATATTTTACGATATAATGCAAGAAAATGTTATATTATTTTACAACAAAATATACGAGTGTTCCAAATATTGAAACATGACTCTTTTTTCTTTCAACAGTTAGCGTGTCCCTAGGCTATTGTTCCGAACATGAACATGCCTGGGACTCGGGAAATGAGTATAAATACCTTGTACAAACTCAAACGGTGACGACCATGGACAAGATAAACCGACAACAGGCTTCCGGAATTAAAATGGATGGTGTTCTCATCGTTCAGGCGCAAACACCAAATAAATTGCAAGCGATGGTTCCCTCGCTGCAGTATGCTCACATGAACGATCTAACATTGCTTGAAGACGATTACAATAATAGATATGAACAAAAAAGAAATGTTCGTAATGTTCCGCTATCCGGAAAACCGTTCGAAATTACGATGAAGCACGGAGTGATTCGGGATATGTCATTCGAAAAGGATGTACCTATTTGGGAAGTAAACATCCTGAAGGGTATCGTGGGCCAACTGCAGGTCGACACGCAGGGCGAAAATAGTAAGTCAAGCAGGCGAGATCAAATACCCGACAATGAGGAACAGCCATTTGCTTCATATAAAGTCGTGGAGGACTCCGTCGGTGGCAACTGCGAGGTTTATTACGATATTGCGCCAATGTCCGAAGAAACTGTCGACGAGAGGCCAGAATTAGTACCTATGCCGCAGCTTGACCAGAGACAGAATAAACCAAATTATATTGAAATTAGGAAAACAAAGGATTATGAAAAATGTAAGCAGCGACGGTCCTATCGTTATAATCAAGCTAATTGGCCAAGTTCGCCGAATTATTCGCCAAAATTGAACCGGCAACATGATCAACTTGTTTCGGTAAGTTAGATATCAATTTATGTCTAAGTTTTAAATATTATAATATTTCTGATTGCTAAAGTCACAGCTTGGGAATATTTTTTAAAAATTTTTTGCGCGATATTTTAAATATCTCTATTTTTCTATGCTTTAAAATACAAATCCTGTAAACAATAAAAAATAAAATAATAAGACTTTGTAATAATATGATTATTACAGCAATTATCTACAAATCGCATGATTATCACGGGTGATCTGAAACGTTTCACTATTCAATCATCGGTGATGCACAGCGACATATCTGTCAAACCTAAAGACCAAGAATCTACGATCGGCACTGTTTCTACTAAAATGAATGTAACGTTAATTCAAAAACGAAAGATCTCGCAAAAGATGCAACCGAACGAACATCAACTCGTATCGACCGGAAACCTAGTTTACATGTACAACAACCCGTCCACTGATGGACTCAAAACACATCGACCGAGCGTCAGTGAAATGTCTCAAGAATCATCCGAAAGTTCAAGCTCCAGTTCAGACTCTAGTTCAGACTCTAGTTCAAGCTCTAGCTCAAGCTCCAGTTCCAGCGAAGAGACTCATGGTAATCATGGTAAATCAAAAAAGTTAAAGGCACACAATAATCATCAAGACAATACCAGGAGCAGCAGCAGTAGCAGTAGCAGCAGCAGCAGCCCGAGCAGCAGTAGCAGCAGCAGTAGCAGCAGCCCGAGCAGCAGTAGTAGCAGCAGCAGCAGCGATAGCAGCAGCAGCAGCAGCAGCAGCAGCGATAGCAGCAGCAGCAGCGAGAGCAGTTCCTCAAGTAGCTCAAGTTCCAGCGAAGAAGATTATGAATACTGGGACTACTATAAGTCGGAAATGAACCAGGGTCCGCACTATCCATTCTTGCCTTTCTTTGTCGGCATAAATGGCAATAACATCCAAATGGCTGACAAGTTTGATGCAATGCAAGTAGCCGCAGATATGGCCGTCCAAATAGCCAAAGACGTACAGGATCCTGATGTCAAAGAACCCGGTGTAACGCTAGAGAATATTACGATCTTACAAAATCTGCTTCGTACCATGAATACCGAACAACTACAGCAAGTACAGCAACATGCACGCCAAATGGCCAAAGGGGATGTTTTAGAATCTTTAAAGAGTGTCCTTTACAAGATTATAACAGAGATCGGAACAAAACCTACTCTCGAAGTCGTCAAAAAATGGATCGAGAATAAAGTACTCGAGGGCTTAGATGCGGCATTGGCTGTTAGGAGACTTCCCAGAACCATTCGCGCACCTACATCGGATTATGTCAGAACATTTTACGTAAGTATTATGCACGATAAAGACGTAACCAATGAATTCCAATATTTTCAATTTGCAAAAAGTAACATCAATAATTAATAAATCGCATCTTTGTAAAATGTTAATTTTAATATCTATACAATCTTTTTCTCTTTCTATACAGAAAATGATTTCCTCACCAGAAGTGCAAAATCAAGATTACGTGAAAGTATCTGGGCCCTTAGCATTAGCCGAATTGATGCGTAAAGTGCAACACAACAAAAAATACAATCCAGTACAGACCGACCGTAAGCCTATTCATGAGATTGAAAAGGAAGTTTTCTCTTATTTCTCTAAAAAATTGGAACAAGCCACCGACGAACGTGATAGCCAGCAAATACAGACGTTCATAGTATCATTGGGAAAAACCGCTCATCCAGCGATTCTCGAAATTTTTGAGCCATATTTGGAAGGGAAACGTCCGTTGACTACATATCAACGTGCGCTACTGGTCACCATGTTGGCTCCATTAGCTAAAACCAATCCGGATGCCGCTAAATCTGTTCTCTACAAAATCTACGCGAACGTAGAGGAAGATGATGAGCTTCGTGTCGCTGCATTTTACAATATTATTAAGACCAATCCATCTCTGCCAACGTTGCTGCGCATAGCACAATATACTAAATACGATCAGAGCAATCAGGTAAACTCTGCTGTTGTGAGCACCATAAGGAGTCTTGCTCGTTTACAACAATGGCAGTCGCAGGGTATCGCTGTCAAGGCTCGTCTCGCTAAAAAATTGTTAACTAATCAGCGTTTCAATGTCGCGGATTCTCAAGGCTTTTACGGGGACACAATTGACAGTACCAATCCCATTCAAAAGTACCTAGTCGAAACAATTCAAAACCCGGCCACCTCATCGAAGTTTGTACGTGTTGAAGCAGATGTTGTACACAATTTCTTACAAAGGATAGCTGCACAATTCGGATTTGGAGTATCAGATTTTAATGAGCTTGTAGAGCACGTTTTCCAAGATCCTTCACAGAACAAACAAAAGCCGAACAAACCGATCGCTGAAAAGATCGCACGCGCAATTGGTGTTGAGTCTGAAGTTCCAGAAGAATTAGAAGGATATATTTTGTTTGGCCAAACCAACAATGTGCAATTCTATCCCTTCGACAAGCCTACTCTTCAAAAATATATCGAGGGTGAGTATAAATTTCGTTTTAGAGAGTTTTACTTTTAAACATAAAATAAATCTAATTATCTCATATTGTTTTACAGATGTAAAGAAGTACGTTAAAAAACATCAACAACTAAATATTAATTATGTACACACTTACGATGCCGTAATCGGATTGGCAACAGAAAGCGGCCTGCCTTTTACTTATACTGTACAAGCACCAGTTTTACAGCGAGTTAACACGAAAAATTCAGAGATGGAAAGTGATAAACGTTCCAACGCCATGCAAGGCACGATCAATATGTTATTGGCCACTAGAGTACAAAATAGATACGGTTTCACGACACCTTTCGAGCATCAACAATACGTCGCCGGTGTCGATAGAAATTATCATGTACATCTACCAACAGAATTTAAGATTGAACAAGAATCCCAAAAGAACAAAGACAAGGTCAGCTTGGAGATGAAAATGACTCAAAAATCGCAAAATTCGCAAGGCCAGCGCATAGTACACACAAGCACTACTCCCTTCGTTACGCAACACAACATTGTTGATTGTCAACCAATACGTCACGACACAAAGATGCAATTAGTTGTCTCTAACGCGCGACCAGATGTCTCGAAGAACACCTTCTCGGTCGGACCAATCAATGTTGTTGCGGAATTTGATAAAGCAAAGCGCACACAGGTGAATGCAAATATGATGATGGACATACTAAAATGTACGAATGAGCAAGATATCCGTCACATGAAGGCTGATCTATATTTGAATAACGATGCGGCAAAAACTGGAATAAGTATGAACGTAGTACATGTTCAAACCTCTAACAATAAAGGAAATGTGAAATCCAACTCACAGACGTTGCCAGATATGACGGTTGCTGACAGACAACCGAACAGCGAAGCGAGAAGAAAGCAATTCATGTCACATCTTAACGACGTTTTAACACATTCCACCAATCATGTATGGGATATAGATATAAAATATCCGACAGCAAATAAACAGAACCATCAAGTTTGCACCATCGCCGTTGGACAAAGCAACGTAGACCAGAAATATAAATCTATTTTCTACTGGAATACCCAATCAGCGAAGAATGGAAATGTTGAGCAAGAAATGTTAGCTACTGGAAACTTGAGATTATCGCTCAACACTCCTCTAAGTTTAGAAAATATGTTGAATCGTGAACAACAAAATAATTTCGAGTTAAATTTGCAATATGGCCAGCCTAACGCTGACACAAAAACCTTGAGTATCCAAGGAAATGCAATGCAAAGTAACGATATCAAAAATCTAATAAAGTCTTCTAAGGCAGTACAGCAATGTCAAGAAGATCATAAGCACGATCAGAAAGGAACACGAGCCTGTCAGAAGGCCGTTGAGCTTGCCGGTATGAAGGATCGACTCAAAATCTCAATGCGTGTTAACACTAAGTATCACCACGAAATTGTGGATAAAATTGTTGAACTTATTAATAAAATCTTTGGCGGAAAAGTGGAATCTATGGAAGAAAAATCCTCTGGAAAGAACAACATCGACATAGAAATAAAATTATCCCCCGATCGTGATGGAACGAACATCTTTATATCTAGTTCTAAAATGGAGCTTTCCTATTCCATACCCTTCGATTCTTTCCTTGATCAACAATCGTCACCGCAGCAGTTGGCACCACAAATATTATTTAGAGCACAGCAATTAGAAGAGGAATTGTCATCGCAATTGTTATTGGGATCTTCATGGCAATCAGCATTGAATTTGTTATCGCAATTCTCATGGCAATTGCCATCGCAGTGGTCAAGTGGATCACTATTGCAATTAGCATCGGAATTGATCTCGCAATTGTCACCGGAATCGCTTCACCAGCAACTCCAATCAACGCAACCAACGCCGAGTGAGTAGATGTAGATTTTTTAAAAAGACAGAAACATTTGTTAGTATTATATATAAGAGAAATAAATAGAGTTAATATAAGCGCGTGATAATAAGCGCAAATAAAAATCAATTAAAAAAATTCATATAATATTCATTATATACATATGTTTCGATCTACTTCGGGTTATATTTAGTTAAAATTGTCGAATATATAAAAATACAAATAAAAAAGTGCAATATAATAGATACGCGCATAAAGTGTGGAAGTTACGTAATAAAAAGAAGATATATACATTTTAATATATATTAATAGCATGTATTTCATAATTTGAAAATAACATAACGCTCGAATGATAACATAGAAATTGATGATTTCGTATTTTCTATTAGTAAGTTCACATTTGATCTCTTAATGTTTTCTTAATTATTCCACAAGTGTATATTTTTATGATAATTATAATATTATATTAGTAAAAGAAATTATTGCGCTGTTATTTGTCTTGTCACGCTGTTGTATCATAATTAATTGAATATAAAAGTATATTATGCCACGTGTATATGTAAACATGTATTCTTCATATGTACAAGTATATTATTTATAAAATTTCATAATACAATATTACTTAATGTATCTTAATCTTTTGCAGACTCGTGTTTCGCCGATCAAGAACAGATTCGTACTTTTGACGATAAAAATTATCTCTTGAAACAAGGAAAGAATTTGTGGCAAGTGCTCCTTATTGCTAATCCGCATAAAAACCAAGAAGAACCATCGAAATTCGCAGAAGTGGCTGTTTTGCAACGAGATAAGGGCAACGTGAAACAAATCCGCTTGTTCTTTGGTGACAAAGAAGTTCAGCTGGATCAACAGAATGGTGAACCCTACATCACAATTAACGGAATGGAAGCCTACAAAAATGGATATCCAAGTTTGGTTGACACAAACAACAATCCGGAAGCTGACGATTACATCCAAATGTACGTACTACCGGACAAATCGGTCCACGTTGAGTCTAACCTGTATGGAATTAGTGCCACATATAACGGACAACGCCTTCGACTTCAGGTGAGTAAAATGGAAAAGAAAAAAAGAAAAATTAATCGCATTAGAGATTAGTTATGATAATACAAGAAATATAAATCGATGTAATTTTTGTTAACAGGTTGCCCCCGGTTATCGCGATATCGTACGCGGTCTTTGCGGCAACTTCAACGGTTCTCCCGATGACGATTTCGTGTCTCCTAATAACTGTCTCATACAACAATTGGCACAATTTTCTGATTTGTATACTTTGATGGAGAATGGCCAGCAAGAATTTACTGCGAAGAACGCTGATTTACAGCAACCATGCACTCGAAACGAGCATCGTCTGAGCAATGTTATTAACGACTTCGAAGCGGGAAGAAAACACTTGGCTGCTAAAAGTAATTGGGGCTACCATGATAACAAAAATGGAGGAAATAGAAAGCAGGCTAAGAACAAGAACCAAAATAAGACTAACCAAAATGTGAAAACATTGAATTATCGCACACAAGTCTGGGAAAAAGATGATGAGGTCTGTTTCTCTGTCAGACCTATACCTGAATGTCCCAAGCATAGCAAGCCTGTCGATACGAAGGAGAAAAATTATGCATATCACTGCAGGCAGAAGGACGAAAACACTAAACAATTGCAGAATAGAATCAAGAACGGAGCTAATCCGGATCTGTCCCAAAAGCATGTCTCTCAATATCGCTCAGAATTAGTTCCTCTTGCTTGCCAAGCTGCGTAATCATACTCAGATATACCGAACGTGCATATTTAATCGAAAGAAATGACCCTTTTATGTTTTCTTTCTTTTTTTAGAAACTTATAAATATATTATTTTAGTAATTGAAGAAATGTAAGCAATAATAAAGTTGAATCTTTTCAACGTGATTATCAGTGGTCTTTTTCATTTTCACACTATACTCTATTAAATAAATTACAAGCACATTAATAATACACGCGATATGCATTTATGTCGACTGTGACAGTAATAATGAAGACAAAAGTACATATAAAAACGCAAATATAATTATTTGTATTTTTAGATTTTTCCATTTAAATTGCAATAGAACATTTAAATATTTAACATAACAAAATGTGTGAATTAAGCATAAATAGTTTGATCTAGGTGAAAAATCATTTTATCGATAGAAAAAGTTTATACATATACATATACATATGTATATAAGCTTATACGAATATGAATATAAGTTTGATATTTTTATACATATATAAAAAACTGTTACATTTCTTATTACACGTAGATTTTGGTTCAAACATTTACAAGAACATTCATGTAATTGTGAAAATAGAACGCTTTAATTATAGTAATAATTGCAATAGTAGCAAGTAATATTTGCAATAATGAATAATATTATTTTTTTAAGAAAAAATTTGATTTATTAAAAAAAAGACAAATTTTTACAATAATTTTAAAAAATAGGATATAATTTATTTATAAAGTCAAAAAAAAAAATCCTTAGAACATTCTTATATTCTTCAAATGCAAATAAAGAGAAAAAGAGAAAAAATAAACAAAATTATCTAATCAATCTTTATGCAAACAGTCTTTAATACAACATAGAAGTTTAATATTGGAATTATCAATGCAAAGAATTACCGATGACCCGTTACGAACCTATGCTCTCTATCTTTTTATTTATCGATAAAACAACAAATGCATTAAATAACATTGTGAAAACACAGCTGTGGAAGATTGCAAAATTTATCAAAAGTTGCAACTATATAGAATTATATAAAAGAAAGATGAGATGTAAATAACTGTAATCAAATAGATTACATAAATTTATTTTAAAATATAAGAGATTATATACATAATAAATTTATACTAAAATATAAATCAAAAATATAAATCTTTTAAACGAATTAGAGTACTTTCTTGATGGAAGTTTCTGTTTTTGTCTCAATGCAGATTTTTAAAAGATAAGATTATGGATTGGACAGTTTAAACAAAGTCGATGCATATGACAATCCATTTTATTAATAGCTTCATACAATTTACTTGGTTGAATCTGTGTGAAATTTTGCAAGCACCTTCTGGAATATTTCCGTTTTTGCCGACCGTTTAAGATTTTATTTTCAATGTTATTTCTATTATTTTCTTTGAAAGATTGATCTAAAGAAAATATAGAGAAAAAGATAATTATTATTTCTAAAACAATAGAGGGTATATTTAATTCTATTTATATAATCAAAATTTTAAGAGATTAGCACATATAATCATGATTTAATTTATTAATCAAATATACTTTTAAAAATGAATAGATTCCCAGTTTGTAAACTCTTTTCAAATTTTCGAATCTCTTTTTCGCATCTTTTAAAATAAGTGCCACGAAATATTAAAGAAGATTTAGGACTGATTTGACAATCTCTGCAAATAGATTTCGCTTTCGAAATATATTGATTGTATTCGAGACATTTCAACATTTCTTCGATGTATGTAAAACGAGTTTTGTCAATTCTTGTGATGACACCTGGACAGCACTTGATCCTCAACAAATGATGTAGCTTCAAAAAGACATTGTACGAGTAACAATTAGACAATAAATTTTAAAAAATATTGTAATGCACAAGTCGCAAAAGTTTAGTAAGAATTTTAATCATGGCTTTACTTTAAATAAGATGAATAAAATTCCGAGCATCGCTTCTTGTTCAGTCATGTTTTCCGCGTACTCGAGTTCTCCCTGTCTAAATCTATAAAATGACAATGTATGCAACAGTGAACAATAATGGATGCCTGCGAACGTACTTCTTCATGTTCTCTAAAGTTTCATTGTTCTTCGCATAGACATTTCTCAACCATTGTCGTAATTGTAGAAAGTTTATCTGTGTTTTTCTAGTCCAGTAGCCTCTCCAAACAGCTTGAATCCTTGTTGCCATTCTATTATAATAATCCTGCCACATTTGCTGAACACGTTGAATTAAATATCGCTTAGCGAACATCCTGGCGCGATAACCGCGCCAATAACGTTGTAAAACCGTCGCGTTTTCGTGAAGCTTGCAAAAATGATTGCGAGTGACGATGCCACGAAACCAAGCCTAAAATTTAGAAATTTAGAAATTTAGAAATTGTATATTTATTAATGCTACTGATATATAATTAATGTTCTCAGATTATTATAACTAACCTGAATTTTACGAGCCGCGATAAAATGTAGGCGTCTCGACGATTCGGTCAAATCATGTTTCATTTTAATCGCGTTTTGTAATTCAACAGGATTAACTACAAATCTCAACAGCGACGCCATTCTTAAATTATTTAATTATGTGCGAAGCACTCTTTGATAATAATTAATATATGAAGACCATAATTTTTTATAATCAATGCGAATATAGCTCAATTAGAGCATGTAAAATACATATGTGAAAAATATACATATTAATATATATATACACTTATATATGTATATAATAGCATAAATATTTTTGTAAATGTTTGCACCAAAATCTGCGTGCAATAGAAAATGTAAGTTTTATATATGTATAAAAAATATAAAACTTATATACATATATGTATATAAGCTTATATATATTATATAATATTATTAATATATTTCTTTATATTATACTCTTTTAAAAATATTAATATATTAAGATCAATCAAAATTAATATTGGCCGCTAGTGGTGAAAATAAACTTGGCAAACTTGATTTCGACGTAACTAGCAATTTTATTCAATACTTTCACGACGTTTCGACTATTTGTCGTTGACGAAACATCATAGCGATGGGACGTGTTCCTCTTTTAACTATTAATTTTAAATAAGACCGGTGTTATGTTGCGTTAATCTCATTTTAATTGATGGAATTTTCACTTGATAAGGATCACAACCAAATGATCGAAACGTCGTGAAAGTATTGAATAAAATTGCTAGTTACGTCGAAATCAAGTTTGCCAAGTTTATTAATATATTAATATAAAAATTTAAAAATATTAATATATTTTAAAAAAACATATTGTAAAGAATCGTATATTTCGTCAATGGCTACGTTTATACCAGGTACCTGGGACCACGGTCTGAACTAAAAAAGATTTAGTCATCAATTGTTTAGAGTGTACAAAGAGGCTTAAAAATCTTAAGAAATGAAAATTATTTTCCCTTTTTTGTGTATAGATGTCACTATGGATTAGCTTTTAACTTTTTTTTGACAACAAAACAGCAATAACTGGACCTGTATACGCGTGACTAACCGGATGTCCTGTTTCTGGCTATTAAAATGTCAAACAAAGTTTGACGAGGGATTACTTTCACCATATGTTTACGCAGCACATATTTTAGATCTCAATTAAGATATAAGCCAAAATGTTAGTGTAAACCAATCAACTTGTAAATACAGTCCGCTTATAATATTGATACTATTCTCAAATAAGAAGAAATAATTCTGCTTATCTAGCTGCTTATTCTATCAAAAGAATACTAATTAATAGAATTTTAAAAGACACATTTCAAATAATTACATTTGTTTAATAAATATTTTAATCGTACATCCTGAAGCATTTTATCTCAGAAATATCTTGATCGTTGGTTTCAAAAATCTTTAATAAGAAGTGATTACAATATTCCTGTATGTATCAAAATCATCAAGAGCGAAGTCGATGTAAGCATCAAGAATGCCCCTCCTGCTGCTAAAAGAACGCTTTTTTTGTTCTTCTTCGGAATCCTTGAAACTACGTGGAAGTCCCGGGACTATAACAGAAATATTCGTAAATGTTATCATATCAAATGGCGATTGCCATAATCTTCTCGAGGTCAATGATTCGTGGCTTCTTAATCGGTATGCAAGATTACTATAATTAATTTTTGCATACTGTTTATATAGTCATTTATAAATGAAGCCGTATATAAAAATTGCATTGCTTATAATCGCAATTATTTAGTGCGTAACGATTCTCATTTTAAATGCGTAAGCGCGTGGAAGATCGTATAAGGTAGTTGACTCGGGACAATATAATCCAAAAAAGGTCAGCATTAAAATCCGAATATTTACGGTTATAACCTGGAGAAAATAATGCCTGAAAATTCTTAAACACTTTTGTTCCTCACGTTCTTCTTCTTTTGTTACACGTAAAGAATAAATATCTATACTATTGCTATGAAGCGATCACCGCTCATTTCCTTTTCAGTCGCTTCTCCATATCAAATAATTGTGAAAATTAAAGAGGCTTAAAAATCTTAAGAAATGAACATTATTTTCCCTTTTTTATGTATAGAAGTCACTATGGATTAGCTTTTAACTTTTTTTGACAGGTTAACAAAACAGCAATAACTGGACCTGTATAGGCGTGACTTATCGGATGTCCTGTTTTCGGCTATTAAAATGTCAAACAAGGGATTACTTTCACCATATGCTTACGCAGCGCATATTTTATAGATCGCATTTAAGATATAGGCCAAATTAGCATTTAAGATATAGGTCATGTGTTAGCGTAAACATAACTTATCACCCTCTTTATTATCATGTTTCTAAAAATCTAAATAATATCTACTTTTTTACTAATATTTCTAAAAAAATGTCATTTTACTGTCTATTCATTTTTCATTACTTTCTTTTTCGTTCTAATTATTAAAATTAAAAATTATACGAGATTTTCGTATGCTTCGTGTATACAATATATGGAAAAAGTGAATATTTGATAATAATTATCTCGCGTTCGGGTCGGTCAATTGTTTTTAAATTATACAAATGCATAGATATATCATATTTATTAACGTATAGTTAAATTGTCTTTAAGTGAATTTAACAAATTGATTTAGAAATTGTCATGAATCATTGGCAGGAATCGGCAATTTTTAATCAAATTTATAATAATAGGATTTTATGACGTAATTGTTACAATTTATGTGCAATTAACAGTTAATAACAAGAAAGGAGATTGGAAAGAAGCGAATATTATTCGCTTATTTTCAGTTATTTACCGAAATTTCGAGACATTGCGTCTTTCGGACAAGTTCATCCAATTTCTCGCCTCTATCGATCAGCTTTTGAACCCCATCCATCAACAGACGACGTACCTCGGCCAATTCTTCCTCTAACCTCGGGATCAAATTTTTGGAATCGACATCTTGATTGTTATACTCTTCCTAAAATAATGTGAATTCAATTTTTCATGTTGACATATTTCTTTTATATCTTATTTATTTTTTTATCTGTGTAAAATATAGAATCCTTTATTTGAGAAGAAAAGTTAATATAAATTTCTTAAATAAAATTTAAGAAGTTTATAAATTATTATATTCTTTATTCGACGCGCGTGTAACTAGGTATCGGCCGGATATGATTATATATATACATATATATATATATAATCATATATATATACATAATTACATTTTCTCAGATACGAATTTTAAGAAATGTTGAAAACAATACTTACTTTCATGTTATTGTGTTATTTCTACTTCATGCCATACAATTATTTTATTACTTACAATTATTTTCTTCAAAGGTTTCGAGAAATCCACCACCGCGGGATTGGTCAGATCTCTTGATAAGTCCGCCAATATTGGTAATTCTCTATAAACACTCCGCAGCCTCTGTAGAAATATTTGAGAGCAAGATTCTAATCGTACTGCCGACGAAGGGCAGTTCGATCTCGATGTCAAACAGGCGTAATGAAGTTCCCCGATCAACACATGTACCGTATATCTACAGAAAAATTCAGTTTTATGCTCGTTATAGCATAAATATAAAAGTAAAGCAATCTTATCCCGCGTTCATTAATCAATTGCGACTCTATTATATAATTTATATAATTATTATATAATACTTGTTTAGCGCGAGTATATAATCATAATAAGAGAAACTGCTGACTCCCGTATGATATATCTCGCAATATATATTTAACGCTTCTCACTCTCTCTCTCTCTCTCTCTCTCTCTCTCTCTGTAAGTGGAAAACAACTATAGATATATGCGAAATCTCCCGTTATTATAAATATCAATCTAATTGTCGCGGCGCAATGCGTGTCCTTCTCGAATTCACGTATGACATTTCAAGCATGTTTCGTACGAGGTCGAATACACAAGAGCGATAATGAAGAAGATCTTACTTGCCCCGATCGACGCTGATTTTATCGTCTTCGATCGTTTTCAGGCTGTCAACCGTACTAAGAGTGAGAGTACGATAGGTCGGGTCCCGATCCGCAGGATAATCCGCGACTATTTTGCAGCCGGATTTCTCCCACAGGGCCACCAGAGCATAATGCACGGTCCCGTTCATTTCAATTAAAATGGAGAAGGCACACTCTCGTCGCGGCCGAATGACAGGCAGACTGACTATCACGCGTTCACAAACACCAGAGACAACGAATACCGGCTGTTTATGCCAGCTCGGCTTGTATGAAGCCCAATGAGTAATGAAAGAGATTTGATAAAGTCGATAACAACACGCTCATATCATGTCGTATGCTACATAAACCATTGGTCGATTACAAATGTTGCTACAAGAGATGTTGCTACAGCCTCTCCGCATCGCTTCATTAATTGACCGTCATCATTTACTGAATTTTCGATTTTTGCTGATATTGCAAGAAGTTTATCTGTTACCTGATTAGACAATTTAATATATCAAAGACATGTCTCTCGCGACTTGATATTAAAGGTCAGATGAAGAGACCAATCCTTATTTTGAAAGAAATTATGCATATATGCAACTTCTCATCTTGAATCATTTTTAGTGAAATATTTATAAAAAAAAGCATTGTTATAAATATTCATATAAAGAAATTTATTTTATATTTTATTTTATTATATGTATAGTTTACATCTGTTTGTATACTTACGTGTTATTTTTTCTTAATTACTTTTTTTTATACAAATTGCTGTAATATATAATAAAATTTAAAATTGATAGTAATAATAATCTACTAAATCATAAAGATCTAGAGCACGAAACTGACTGCAACCGATTGCTCTTATTAATCGTTATTAATTATCGCTTAATATTTTTGCAAGATCGTCCTATCTGGATCTATAAATACGTGCGATAATTAATAATAAAAAGTAATAAAAGCGATCATTTTATAGAAAAACTTATACAAAAGCTAATTAATTTTAATTTTTAGGGTTCAAGCATGCCAAAAAACTGTCCAACACACAGATATGTATTGAGCATTTTTTTTTAACTATTTCATGTGACACGCAGATGTTACACATGTGTTGACCATATACTTTTTCTTAAAAAAAACAATCCTGAAATACAAAACATGCAGGTGCATAGAGAATGCAAATATGAATGACACGCAGAGAGAGCGTCTTTAAAAGCTTTGAAACACTTGCATTCGCGTCACTTTTTGTTCACGAATAAACGCCCGGGTTTTAATTATCACAATTTTCATTGAATATATTTTACGACGAATTGCATATTTTAAGAACCAATATATAATTAAATCCCGATATGCAAGTACGTTAAACTTATGTAATAGAAGAACATCTATTTTATACTAAAATTCGAAGATAAAAAAGTGCAGCATAAAAACATATAAAAAATTAAATTACAAAAGGATATATTATTTTTTATTTCAAAATATAGTTTTTAATATATAAGGGTTTAAAGAGATAAAATATATTTTATGAATCTTGGTTTCTTTCAAGAATTGTTGGCAATAAAAATTCTCTCAGATATAGTTTAACGCCATTCGAGTACGTATAATATAAGAATTTATTGTTATTGTAAAGATTGAAAAAATTTACATCTATTCTAAAATGTAATTAATTTATTTTTTCTTATTCGACTTTGTTCCGACATTTTTCTCGCTCCATCAAGCGGATTAAGAAATTTATTAAAATACAATAAAATCTCAAATTAAGATTTATTTAATTACTTGGTGTCGCACAAAAAAAAATTTGTGCCCTTTCGTTACAAATACAATTTTCTCGGCTTGTTCTTGACAAGAGCAAGACAGTATTAGTGAGCGATGACACAAGCTGCATGCAGAATTATCGCGTGCAACTCTCTTAACACGTGATAGAAACAATTGACTTGACGTTGAGAGCATACGATGCAAAAATAAAATTCAGAACGATCACTAATCTGTTACCGAATAATTCACTAATATTGATATTTTAACCTCAGTCAGAACTTATTCAAAATTTGTTTGCATGAATAGAAACATCGATGACGCATTAGATTGTCACGTAATCAAAGTATCGTTAGAATAAATTATAAGTGTCTTATCTAATGCAAACATCTTAAATATTTCCCTGATAATACAAAAAAATGTGAAAGGAAATTAATGTTTGGAATATTTCTTTAGAAAAGGTGAATATTACAATAAGCAAAAAAATTCCATATAAAGTCTTCTTCTTCATAGAAATAAATCTTTCTTCTTAAAAGGAAATAAATCTTTCTTCTTCATTAATATTTCTGCATTTTTTCGACATTTGTAAATTTTCTTTGTATTTCTGTTCTTCTATTTTTTTTGTATGTATTTCTATTCTTTAATATAAAAGAATAAAATAAATATATAAAAAAAGATTTTAGTTTTCAAAAGAACCTCGAATTTTCAGGAAAATAGCAGGTTTAATTTAAATGATATATGTATATGTATTATATTTTTTAATACTCATATATATATAAATCGAGGAATATAATGTATAGTTTCATTTTATATCTTTAGATTATAAACTGTATAAGTATTCTTAATGAAAAAAGTATGATTTTTCGTACATCCGTCGCAATTTCTACGTACTTGCGCAAATATCTGGTCGCATTTCTTACTAGTCTCGAATTTCTATGTTATAATAGTATATAATTCTGAAATCTTTAGCCATAGAATTATCGGTGAATATATAAAGGATTTTTACATTCGTTAGAAATTTATTTTTTATAAAAATTTCTAAAAATAAAGATATTATAAAAGAATTATAGAAATTATAGTATCTAGAAATTTCCATTTTAGTAATTATTTTTGCAGTTTTGCAAAATAATGTAACCTTTCTCACTGAGGCGATCAAATTCCAGCGTAGGGGCGTTTCAGACTGTCGTAACCGTTTCGTTTATGCGACAGGTATAGTATATCTGTGTGTTTAGGGTTTAGGTGGAGTTTAGTTACAAAGATTTTAATTTTCAACAAAATTTGTAAGTGGGGATATAAGAACTCTAACTAAATATTTGGATGTCTCTTATTGGCTTGTTGTCCCCACTTAATTCACACTTATTCGCTGTTTAAGGTTTAGGTGGAGTTTAGGTAAAGATTTTCTAAAACTTTCAAAAAAATTTGCAAGTGGGAATAAGAGGGGATAATTCTTGCAAACTGTGAGCTGCATTTGATTTTTCTCATCAGTGCCGTTTGAACATTTCAGTAGTGCATACAGCTTTGCTATAGTGTTCTTTCGAAAACGATTTCTTCAAGTGTTCACTTGTACGGACCAGCAGTCTTAGACGCCCCTACGTGTACGGATTCCATAAAGTATTCTTTTTGTAAAGAGGTAAGTCTTATTTAATAAATAACAACTGTTTCTAATTAACGAGAGGCGGTAATATCTCGCGCGTAGTTAGGCGAAGCTGCGACCCTTTCGAAGCGACGCACCGTGTGCGCATCTTTACGCGAATCAGTTTAATTGTTACTTGCAACTAATAATTTGTTTCTTTAATTTAATTTTTTATCCTTTAATAATAACTCTTAAATAATAATTTTGTTTTTTCGTCCTGGATAATATATCATCTTTCTTTTATAAATGAGTATGTTGATCATACTTTTCTCATAACTTTTAAATCATAATTCTTAAATATGTAAATTCTAAATAAATTCTACACTTTTAAAAATTCTTTTAAAAATATATTATTTAAAGAGTGATGGCAAAAGATCTGTTTTTTCGCCTGTTTTGTAGAGAATTTTGGGATCTCGAATTTCAAACTTTTTTTATGTCAAATACTATTATATGATGATTAATCCCAGAGAAATTTCAAGATAAGCATAGTCACGGTTTTGGAGATAAGAAGTGAAAGTTTCTCATTCCTGACTATAGAAATTATTACTTTTACCCCCTTGCATCTCCGAAACCGTGCCTATGCACATCTTGAAATTTTATTGGGATTAATCATCATATAATACTATTTGTGACATAAAAAAAGGTTTGAAATTTGTAGTCCCAAAATTCGAATCTATAAAATGGGTGAAAAAAAACAGGTCTTTTGCTATCACTCTTTAAAATTTGAAGTTTGAAAATAACTTAATTTTTAAATCGAGAACTGAATCTGAGATTTTGCTTGTTCCCTAAACTAATAAATTATATATATAACTATTTCAGTGTTTCCAATTTTTATTGCATGTATGTAGGATAAAACATTTTAGCTCAATTTAGACTAGAAATACTAGTTTAATTATTTTTTGATTTTTTTCTCTCTCTCTTTTCTTTTCTCCTCCCCCCCCCCCACTCTTTTTCTTATTTTTTCGCATTATTTTAATTTAACTCTATTATGTTATTTCAGACTATTAAAATGAAGACAAATAAAATTATTTATTATCAGATTGATGACTTAGGTACCGAGGTGATACCAATTTTGTTACACTATGGTCATATACCATTTACAGTGGAAGTTTTAAGCGATATTCATCCTGAATGGTATCACAGAAATCTGAGTATGTATATATATTATATTTATATTTATATATATAATTATATATAAATATACATAAAGAGAACGGCAGTGTGGCTCAGTGGTAGAGCGCCAGACTTGTAACTCGCAGATCGCGGGTTCGAGTCCACTGAAGTCATGTATAAACATGGAAATATTTTTCCGCGCTGCGCTCACCACTGGGATCGGGGAGATCTCGGTGGGAAAACTGGGCTCACGTCTTTCGGAAGAGACGTTAAACAGTGGGTCCAAAAAGGTTAGAGAAGGGAGGAGGAAAGGATAAAATTAGAAGATTAAAAGATAGAGATAATTACGTCTCCTTATATCATATAGATATATTACATATTCTAAAACCAATGGTTTAATTTCCTCATTTCTTAATAAAAAAATTTCTTCTGCCAAATAACTTCCAATTTCTGTGGTATTTCTAATGATGATTCTACGATATGTATATATATACACTTACTCAGTTTTCTGTAACGTCAAACAGAATGCATATCGCTTAAAACTTCCACTGTATATGGAATATGACCATATTGTAATAAATATGGTATCACCTCGTTACCCCCGTCATCATACTGGAAATAAGTAATTCTAGGTCTCTGCATTTTAATATCTATATTAGGAATTAGGAATTTTTTTTGTGTCCCCTCGATGTTTACAAATTCTTTCTCCAATTTTATCCTTTCTTTCTCCCTTCTCTAATCTTTTTGGACCCACTGTTTAACGTCTCTTCCGAAAGACGTGAGCCCAGTTTTCCCACCGAGATCTCCCCGATCCCAGTGGTGAGCGCAGCGCGGAAAAATATTTCCATGTTTATACATGACTTCAGTGGACTCGAACCCGCGATCTGC